TAGGTCAGCGTACGTCAAAGCTACTACAGTTCTAGTAGGGTCAGCGTAGGTCAGCGTAGGTCAAAGCTACTACAGTTCCAGAAGGTCAAGTCTACGACCTTCTGGAAGTTCTAGAACTGACTCTTCGTAGGTCTTAGGAGTCAGTCCGCGGCTGAGTCAGCGAAAGGCAGTCGTAGCACAGCCAGCAAAGGGCAGTCCTAGTCCTACTTAGTCCAGTGAGCGGTCCCCAGTCCCGGTCGCACTTTGTCTAGTCCGCAAGTACCATGTGGGGCTGTGTGCACCCTGGGCCCAGGGTCCAAGGGCAGACCAGCGATGATCCGAAGTAAAAATAAAGAGGCAGCGTCAAGTCACTCATTCATTCTGCCTGTGAGCCGTGCGGAACCGCTGTCGGAGCGTCTTGTGTTACGGAGGTATGCAGGTGCCCGAGGAAGAAGAGAGCTAAGAGGAGGAGGACGCAGCCATCGCCGCGAGATAGCTAGTAGGAGGAGGAAGACGGCAGCCATAGCTGCCTGTAGGTTAGTTGTAGGGAGTGTGCCTGTGCGTGTGTGTGCCTGTGCGTGTGTGTGCCTGTGTGTGTGTGTGTGTGTGTGTGTGTGTGTGTGTGTGTGTGTGTGTGTGTGTGTGTGCGGGACGTCCACGGTGATCCGAGCGTGTGCATGTGTGTGAATAAGTTGCTGGAGGATACAGTTGATCGGGTGGGAATCTTTGTCCGGCGCCCTGCGCCATAGCCATCAAGACAAGTTTGAGTCTAAGCTTGTTCCTGGCTTCGTTGATCTCTGAGCTTTGTGTGGGCGCCGTGCGGCAAGTTTCATCGTCATCTGTTTGCATGCATGCTGAGTGAGGAGAAGACAAGTCTGATTGCACATGAGGGAATTTGGTAAAAAAAAATAGCGCCAAATATTTAATAAGCCGGGTTCAATTTCGGTCGTTATATACAATCTAGAGTCTCTCTGTTTTGACCAAATGGCTGTGTTGTTCTTAAAAAAATGAAATAAAAAAATGACTGAATTGCACATAGTTGTACATCGTTTTTTTTTTTTTTTTTTTTTTTTTGGTTCCTTTTTTTTTGTGAAAAGGCGAACCACATCTTTAAAGGCTAATTCTTTTAAGCCCAACCAATTCAATTATCTGTCAATTCTGGACAGGACAGCCTTTCAGGCCTTTTTTTATTGTCAATCTAGTATTACCGGGAACCCCAGAGCAGCCACATCCATGCTCAAGCCTCCAACGAGGGAACATGCGGGAGCTGCACCCACCAGCAGGTGGGCGATAATGGCCAGGGGTCAGCCGGTAGCATCAGGACCGAGCTTCCTCGATGGGCCAGTCACTGTGCCTCCCCTCCGGTCCCCTCCCCCTATGAACATCAGCAGTCTCTGCTCAATGCCACTCGGGGGGACCAACGGCATATCTCTAGGTGGGGGGCGCCAAGCTTGCCCAGGAAGGTACATGAGGCCAGTGGGGATTGAACCCAAGACCTCCTGAACACCACTTGCGTGCCTTACTAACTGAGCTAGGCCGCTGGATCAAACGACATCTTGTTCAACCCGTAAAAGTTTTCTCACACAGGAAAAAAAAAAAAAGAAAAAAAAAAAGAAGAAGAAAAGAATGTGGTCAACTCCTACTAAACTTTTGCTGCACAAACGACATCAGTTTTTTGTCTTTGTTCTTTTTTTTGTCCTTTTTTTTGGTGAAAAGCCGAACGACATCTTGTTCAACCGGTAAAAGTTTTCTCACACAGAAAAAAAAAAAAAAAAAAAAAAGAAGAAAAAAAGAATGTCGTCAACTCCTGCTAAACTTTTGCTGCACAAAGTTCACAAACGACATCAGTTTTTTTTCTTTGTTCTTTTGTTTGTCCTTTTTTTTTTGTGAAAAGGCGAACGACATCTTGTTCAACAGGTAAAAGTTTTCTCACACCGGGGGTTTCTGCACTGAATGTGGTTGTAAATGCAGTCACATACATCCTGCAAAGTCCTGGTGTGTGCATTGCCCTCAGTCAGTGTAAACGGGTTTCTCTGAAGCTCTGTTTCCCTCAGAAAAAAAAGGTGCAACAAATGCTTTGCTCAACTGTATAAAAAGTGCTGTATCTGCAGCAGAGTTGCTTTTCTCTCGCAAAGGAGATAACTGTTAATATTATGATCGTGTCTGCCAGGTCTTGAATCGATGATCTGTTTATCAACGGTCGCATGCGTGTATATCATTCAGTTGTGGGGGAGGTATAGCCTGCCATCTCCCGTAAACCTCCTCTTCCCCTTGTTCCATGGATTATGACCATGTACAAGCAGGGCGTGGGTAGGTTCGCTAGCGGGTTGGAGAAGGCACACCGTTGTCACACTGTTTCTTTTTTTTTTTTTTTTTTTTTTTTTTTTTTTTTTTTTTTTTTTTTTTTTTTTTTTTTAACTGTTTCAATTTCGGCAACCGTCACGGGGGAAAACCTCTCAAAATGGGAAAAAGGAAAACCTCTGAAAAATTGATGCTGAAAGAAAGAGCTTCAGACGAGGTCGGTGCGGCCTCGAGCAGTTGGTAGAGCACGAAAGTGGCGTTCAGGAGGTCATGGGTTCGATTCCCCAAGTCTTCCATTTGAACCCCCACGGCCTCCGGCGGTGCACAGCGGGTTCACCAGCTGAGATAGTCAGCTTGGCCCCTATGGTTGGTCTTGGTACTACTCCCCGCTCAGAGTGGAGCCTCCCCCTCCCACCCATCACCAGGGGTTAGGAACTTAGGGGGCACCAGGGGTTAGGAACTTAGGGGGCACCAGGGGTTAGGAACTTAGGGGGGCACCCATCACCAGGAACGTAGGGTGCCCCTAACATGGTACGCCTTCCCCCTCCCAACCATCACCAGGGGGTAGGAACTTAGGGGGCACCAGGGGTTAGGAACTTAGGGGGCACCCGTCACCAGGAACGCAGGGTGCCCTTAAACCACCAGTACTTGGGCACTGCGCGCCGCGCGGGCCGCCCAAATTTTGAAGCAGCGCGGGCTGTCGATTCGGTTTATCTACGGCCCGCCGGCCGCGGAAATCGCGTAGCGTTAACGCTAAGGCGTCGCCCAAGTACTGGTGGTTTAACATGGTATGCCTTCCCCCTCCCACCCATCGCCAGGGGTTAGGAACTTAGGAGCCTTCAAGTTGGTACTACTCCCCGATCAGAGTGGAGCTTGCTAGGGTGTGCTACGGTGGATGCTGTGAGGAGGAGGAGTAGCCAATTGGTCTGTAATCTAGGCTGGCTTCCGGCGCCACCCGGCCGGGCCGGCACGGCAGTGGACCCATGCAGCTTGCACGGCCAGGCGGCTGGACGGGTCACCCGTGCAAGCTTTTTTTTTTTTTTTTTTTTTTKTTTTTTTTTTTCTGGTGATGTGCGTCTGCTGCGCCTGCAGAGATCTGCCCGAATCTGGCGTGTTTGCACTTGTTTGCCACACCTATGTTTCGAGTGTGGCAGGGGGGGGGGAAGGGGTAGGGTTGGGTGGGGTCTCACTGACTCCTACTGTTCAGAGGTGGGAGGTGGTGGGAGTGACGTCTGAGATGGCGGGAGGGAGGTTGGAGATGACGGAAGGGAGGTAGGAGTTGGCGAGAGTAAGGTGGGAGATGGCAGAAGGGAGGTGGGAGGTGGTGGGAAGAGAGGTGGGAAGAGAGGTGGGAGGTGGCCGGAAGGATGTTAAAGATGGCGGGAGTGAGGTTGGGGATGGCGGAAGAGAGGTGGGAGGTGGCGGGAGGAGAGGTGGGAGGTGGTGGGAAGGAGGTTAAAGATGGCACGAGGGAGGTAAAAGATGGCGGGAGTGAGGTTGGAGATGGTGAAAGGGAGGTGGGAGGTGGCGGGAGTGAGGTGGGAGATGGCGGGAGGGAGGTTGGAGATGCCGGAAGCGAGGTTGGAGATGGCAGAGGGGAGGTAGGAGGTAGCGGGAGTGGAGTGGGAGATGGTGGAATGGAAGTGGGGGAGGTTGCCCCGGCGTCCTTGATATTGCCCCCCCCAACGCGCAGGGGGCCTGACTGGGGGACCCGCACGGCTGGGCGCCCGTCCGGGCATCCATGCGTGTCGGGGGGCCCGTGCGCACGGAAATGAAGCCTAGTGTGTAATGCAAAAAAAAAAAAAGAGAAAAATATATGTACAGCTGTCCCCCGATAAGGAGAAGACAGCTTTTGAAAAAAGAAAAAAGAAAAAAAAAAAAGAGCTTCAGACACCCATCTCTTCTTTCAAAGGGACATAACCACTAACATTGTTGTCCCTATCAGGATCTGAATAATTCTGTCCCAAATGTGGCACCTATGGCTGCACTGCCAGGCCCACCCCCCGGGCCCCCGGCACAGTTTGGTAGTCCCAAGGGCGGGTAAAATCCAGCGTATGGTTGTGGTGGGGGTTCAGCTGTTGGTAATAGCGTTGACGATGTAATTACGGATTTGGTGCTGCCTACCATCTTCACCCGAATAGAACGACTGGGCACAATATAGCCTTCTTTTGTTCAACTTTCTGTCTATAGATACAGCGATTTTTCGCCGGGCGTTCTATTCGGGCGAAGACGGTAGTTGAGATTGATGGTCAGTAGCAGCCTGCCAGCCTCCTGATTCACGCTGATCGTCAATAGCAATGGGCCTAAAACTGTTGTTGCAGCTTTGTGCAGTTTTGCTCTCTGATGTTTTTTTTTTTTCTTTTAATAACTGATTTGAATTTCTGAATTACTTATGGCTTCACCAGCACCTGCCACCTGACTTGTCGCTGAATGGTACATACTACTACATAATAGTATGATAAATTGATAATACATATATTATGGGTTGTTTAAACTTGTTTTGCTATTTTTCAAACAGTAGACTTTTCAACCATTTTTGCTTGTGCTAGTGCCTTGGTGTGGGAACCTTCTTTCATTTTTTTTAATATGAAAATTCATGCACTAACTGCTATTTGTGTTTTACTCTTTATTGGAGCTGTAGGAAAATCCGCACAAATAGGACTCCATACTTGGTTACCGGACGCTATGGAGGGCCCTTTCCCAGTATCAGCTCGTGCAGTTTTGCTCTCTGATGTTTTTTTTTTTAATAACTGATTTGAATTTTTGAATTACTTATGGCTTCACCAGCACCTGCCACCTGACTTGTCGCTGAATGGTACATACTACTACATAATCGTATATATATAGCCCTTGATAAACAGACCATTCATATTCATACTACATAGATATGTAGTATGTAGCCCTTGATAAACAGATCATGAGTTCAAACTTCAATACCTGATGTAATCAGATGGAGACAATTTGTGGCTTCACCTTCTGACAACTTCGTTGTCATCCACTTGCAGCTTCAATCACCGAACGTCACCAATGGAAATGGACGGTATTGCGATTGCGTTCCGCCCGGTATTGGGGAGCATGCTCTCGACGATCTACCACTGCAGGCAAAACACACAATCGAATCAGGACCGGCTTCAGCATATCCTGCATTTCTGGGGAAAGATGGAGTTCTACGACAGAGATACCATCGCAGCCCTGGAGCATGAGATGGTAACTGGCACGCCATCCGTGTACTCAGCCGGTGGCGCCGAGCATGCTTCGTTGTATGGGATGATGCCCCCTCAAATGGGCTCGGGACACGGTTATTATGGCAGCACACCCCAGCACATGGGTTGGGGGGGGTCTTACCTGTCGCCGCCGCTGCATCAGCAGCATCCTGGATGTGGTGCGTATCAACAGCAAGAGGAAGAGCAGCGGCGGCGCGAGGAACAGGAGGAGGACGATCGAGACGACAAGGGCGATGACGGCGAGCGGGACCACGAAAAGAAACGGCAGAACTTGGAGCAAGATTGGGACTTGGAACAGGAGCGGAGGCGGGAGGAAGATGAGCAATCCCCCCCTTCAGGAGACGGACAACAGTCTAATCAAGATTCGGTGGCAAGTTGGAGAGAGGAGCGCATGGCGAGGAACGAGCACAATGATCGGTATGGTGATACACCAGAGGGGAGTGCGGGACCAGTCAAATACTACCCCCCTCCTGGGACGGTGACTGTGCCGTATTCTGCAGGTGTGGCCGCAACCCCTGCTGGTCTACATGCGCCGACGGGTGTCGGCTTGAGCGAGTTCTCGGCGGGAATGCCCGCAGGGGTAGCACCGAATGCGGCCGTTTCAGCGGCCGTGGTTGGTATGGTGCCAACGAGAATACCTGGGATTCCGGGAATCGGTGCAGTTGCGGTGGTACCACAGTCGGTCACCACGGGACCAGGAGATGAGCCACTCCCCTTCCCTCTGTTCCCACCGGGACTGATACCCGGGATGGTGAGGAAGCTTCAAGTAGGAAGTGGTGTGCCGTACTCCCCGCTGAGCCCTCTCGACATCCCGCCAGTCATTCCACCGCCTTCGGTCCCTGAGTCGTATATTTTCGACCGCGTTCAGAAGTTTTTCAAAGAGGTAGGGGAAATCGACCCCTTAGACGCAGATGAGCCGGAGAAGGAAGCAGCGCCTGTCAGACAGGAGAGAGAGGAAGAAGAAGAGCCGGAAATGGACACCGGGCCTTTTGGCGGCCTAGGTTTGGGCATGATGACGGTTGATCCAGAGACAGGGACTTTACCGGATGGCAGCGTGGCGATTCGCCCGGGAATGATTACCTCTGGCAAGCTTGGGCTTGGTGCCATGTCAGATCCAAACGAGATTACACAATACGATGACGTGTACTTGTCGTACAGAAAACAGCGCAGCACCAATTACCACACATCCCTAGGGCTAAGGGCAGTCATGAGGTGAACCATTCCCATTTATGCGGAGAGAGAGAGAGAGAGAGAGAGAGAGAGAGAGAGAGAGAGAGAGAGAGAGAGAGAGAGAGAGAATTTGCAGAGAGGTGGTTTCACCTTTGAGCCTGGATGGTATTTTTGGAATGTGTAGCATAATCAGAATCTCAGCTCAGCAATGGCAATCTCCTCACAGTGTTCCGGATGCGGATGTTTTGTCTATATGCGTGCCTCCCTCTTTCCTTTGGCTTTTGTGTGCATCATGTGTCGGAGTGCTTGCGCGTTTGCAAGCAGGGATATCAAAAGTGCTGTGGGGGTGGTGCGTCTTCTTTGTTTGTGTTGTCATCTCCCCTCTTCAACAGCAGCAGTTCTCACACAACAGCTCCTACCAAAAAAAAACTCCCAAGGTAACCCAAACATTTATTTATTTATTTATTTTAAAGGGAGATGGCCAAACATGAGTGGATCGGTGTATCGTCTCCAGAGGAAAAAAAAAAAAAAAAAAAAAAGAAGAGTAGTGGCTTGTCTTGGTCAAGTGAGAGGTGTTTGCACATATGGGAGGAGGAAGAGGACTTCCGCTGCGTGTGTTTGGAGTGTTTGGAGAGAACTTTGGACTGATGGGCCTTGGCTGTGTTGTCCTCTTTCATGTGAGTCCCTGCAGATGTATGTTACTGTGTCCAAAAACCTTTGGGTATAGACACTACCAGGGGTCTCCTGGATGCATCTGATCGTAAATACAGCCACATTCAGTCAAGAAGTCCTAATAAACAGCCATTTAGTTAGAACGGGCTTTTTTTTTGTGGGGGTGGGGGTGGGGGGGAGGAGGTGAATGAAATTGGGGTTGCAAAAAAGGTGTTGAAAACCCAAGATTTTTTTAGCAATTTTGCATCTCCACGACGTCGGACCATTGATGATGGTCGCAGTGTCCATCTGATGTGTTACCTGGACGGCCAGTGTCGTCCAAATGACATCCGAGGGTCCGAAAAAAAAAAAAAAAAAAAAAAAGAATCCCAGGTACGTCAGATGGTCCAGCAGCGTCGGGACCTTCTGATGCCTCCGATGCCGTCCAGATGCAAAAATGCTGAAAAATAATAAAATGTATCTTTTTGTCTAAAAGCCCACTCTTGCTAAATGGAGAAAAACAAAATGCGGAGGGAGAGCGCTTCCGCCGGCGTAGGAACGCTCCGCCGTAGCGCTGCCGGTTCAGGAGAACCGGCCCTGCTGGCCGCCATCCCGGCATGCAGCCGGGAGAAGCGGCCTTCGTCAACCATCCTACCTAACGTTTTCAGCTAGGTCAACACTCTTCATCGAGGAGTCTGCAGGTCAGATAATAACACGTGACATCTCTTAATGCGTTCTATGAGTAATTGGACATGGCGCCACCGCCTTGTCCCTGATGAGTACTTGATGCGACTGGAAAAGGAAGCGGAAGCTACTCTCCACTTAGACTTACAGGTATATTCTCTCCACGTTTCCTCTCTCCACCTTACCACTAGCCCCCCACACAACACTACCTTCACGCACATACTCTCCCTACATCGTTCCAATGGCCACTCCCCCCCTCTCTCCCGGTCGGACTCGGGCAGGCCCCCCTGCAGATGCCTCCACAAGGGCAACCACATCCTCACACTGTCCCTGAAGATCTCCCCAGAATTCGCACGTTGCTAGATGGCTGTTACGACGATGGTATCTTCCCCGAAACTTCCTTCTCTCATGGTGACATCGAGATCATTGACGGAGTAGGCTTAAACGAGGAAGTTGACTCAGCCACCGTCAACTGGCTGAAAGAAAGGACTGTCATCGTCATCTTCGAGACACGGGCCTCCACTCTATCCGTTGCTCAGAGAGAACAATTCATCCGTATCTATGAGGATGCATGGTATCTCGATGCTAACATCAATCCGTCCCAGCGTAGAGGTCGCACACACAGGGAGGGACCAAACGTAATGTCCTACGTTGCAAGATCCAACAGGATCGCACAGTGGCTAATTACGAAAGGCCACGACCATATCCCCTCCCGTACTGGACCAATCAAGGTGCTTTTTAAGCCCTGGATGACCCAGTAGGAGCTACACCATATCAGGGACGCTGAGTCAGCAGCGAAATTTCGAATAATAGCACTACGAGTCCCTCTTGGTTCCATGTTCTCCCTGCGTGACACGGTGCAGCGTCTCATGGGTCCAATTATCTTTATGCACCCACCGGGCAGAAGAGATGACGAACCACGCCTCGGCAACATCCGTATAGATGCCGTCCGTCAGTCAGAGACACTTTCAGGGAATGGTTAGTCCTCCGACGTCCAACAGGACAGTGCATGCAGATTCAATTCGCCAACCAGGACACTATCTTTTGTAGAAAGTGTCTCTGGTGGTATCATGATGAATTCGATCCGGAGTGCCCCAGATTCAACGAACTGATGCCAGCCGGAAGAAGAGGAAGGGGAAGGGGCTGAGGACGCGGTCCGACAGGGCGAGGCCAGACCGGTCAAACCCCCCCAGCAGGGAGGGCCCCACCGCCTAAACCCCCCCCGCCGGCACCCTCTAGACAGAATCTGCCCCCCACTTCACTTCCTCCACCAACATATCCACCGTCACGACCTTTCCACTCC